ATCATGGGTAATTCAAAAGACCTCAAGCCTAGCATTTAATTCAAAAGAATTCTTGAATGATAATGCCTCCGTATGCCTGGCCCAAGCATGCAAATTCTTTGTGGAAGATCAGATGTTCACCTCAGGCCTCACGGAGCTTCTACAGATAACATTACAAGAAAAGTAAATTCGTAGTCATAGCTGTCAATCACTAATGAAAAGAGACGCCAGGAGTGACAGCCAGCAGGAAGCCAGCTGCACGGATGGGCACTGGGATGAGCATACCCAGAGCACAAAGCCACGGGCTTACGTGTGTCACAGCTGTAGAGCTGACCACAGATGTCCGCTCTCCATTTCAACAATAGAGTCCTCAAGTTTTAGCTGAGTGTGTGTCCACCCACCTAGACAGTGTGTTTCCGTATCTTTGAAGCTGTCTGTAATGATGTGACCATATTCTGGCTTATGGTGCATAAGCAGACAATAATAACCTCTCATGAAGTTATAAAACAAGATAAAATTAAAATACTTGATAACATTAGGGTATGAGTTGGGAAATGGTAATAAGAATTAAAATGTGCCGAGGTCCTTGTATTGTTTTGAGGAAGAGTAAAACATGAGTTACACTTAGACTATAGTAAGTACGCACGTGAAGTTCTTTTTAGGATGACCTCTCACAGGTGCGATCTGGGCTGCAATTCAGGACCCGTGCGATTCTAGAGGGAAAGAAGGTTTCTTTCTCACACTGCTGCTATTTTTTAGCCACAGAATAGGATTGCTGTGAACCCAGGACCCAACCCATCACTGATGGCCCCTTGCCCTCTGCCTCAGGAACTGCCCATCACGGCCGCCAGGACATCTGCGTCTGAGCCTTTCCCAGTGCACCCATCTCTTCCGGACTCCGACTCACTCATTCCAAAGTCCCGGGTGTCTCCAGTGCCTCCCGCTTGCCAACTCCTTTCTAACAGGTCTCACGTTGGGGATGCTCATTCAAATAAACGACCACACTCACTCCGTGTGGAACTCCCATTGGTCCCACACCTCCTGCCCTGGCCACAGGATGTCTTCTCCATGAGCTCCCCAAACCTCCCACGCACTTGGGTGTGACCAGTCATGCTCACTTAGCGGACCGTGTGTGCTTTCTGCTGCTGCGGTCTTCCGTATCCGGACCCAATGGGAAGCTGCCGGCGGACTAGGACTAACAGACTTGAGTCTCCTAATGTGGCCTGAGGCGCACCTACTGGGAGATGCCTCACTGGCGCTTCGGAGAAGGAACATCCGTGGATCCCAGAGTGGAAAAGCGCCTATGGATTCCTCTGAAAATAGGCAAGGCGGGAAGTCCTGTGCTTGAAGTCATACGCCCCCTCAGTCTGACGGGTGACTTGTTCTTGCACATTCAGCACTCTCCCCACGCCCTCAGCCCCAATGCCCGGGACACCGCCGAGAGGGCTGCATTGAGCCCTGCACCCCACTTCCCCTGTTCACTCATTAATTGTTGAAGGCCTACTGCTCACCAGCCTTCTGCCGTACATCTGCCTTCTGCCCATAACCCAGGGCCCAGATCTTTCATTACTGCTCTCCTTAGAGTCTCCTATTTCTGTTTGTCCCCTTAGCTCAGTTCATTAGGGCATCTTCCCTGCTAAAAGAGAAGGCCCACAGGACTCCCTGACTGGGAGAAAGAAGTAGAACAGGTTTCTGGCCCCATCCCTGCCTCAGAGGGTGGGTCCCTTCCACTCTGACAATCTTGATTACCTTGTCCCATTCTGCTTCCTGCTGCAACCCAGCCCAATGCCCTGTCTAGTGTGATCATGTCTTTCTCCTTTCTCACCTTCCTCTTGACCCCTAGTCTATGCCTTCCCAGGCTCAGTATTGTTTTGTTAGCTGCTCAAAGCTGACAGAAGAACAAGTCACCTTCTCGACTCCTCCCCCACCCATCTGAAGCTATAAAGGCCCCTGCAGCTCTTCCATGATAAAGAGGGAGCAGCATCGCATGGAGAAAGCTTAAGGAACCCAGGCATCCAGTCTCTCACCCCACCTCCTAGCTCACGGCTCTTCCAAGAACACATACTTAGGAGACCCCAGCTCCTGGAAGCGTCAGCCTTCACCTCTTCACCCGGAACTCTCCTTTCTCGAGAATACTGCTCTTTGCCTTCTAGGGCTTGGCTGCATCTGGGATCCACGCATCTTGCTTTCTGGACACCAAGAAGCAGATCGAGATGCAGACAGGAAGCCCTCCCTTAAAGTATTGGCTACTATTACATCTCCTGCTTTTAGGACATGGTGAGTGATTTCCTTAAAAGCGGGTGGTCTGAGAATCTTTGAGGGACTGCAGAGCGGTGACCACTCCCAGGGTGGCTGCGGTGGTCCTCCATGTGAGCACCTTCATTTTGTTCCAATCACTCCAGTCTAACAACGAATGACCTGGGAGGCCCGCAGAGCACAGCGTTAAGACTGGTCTCAGTGCTTTGGGTGAGCTGTTTAACTTCTCTGTGCCTAGGTTTCTGCATCTATAAAACAGTAATGACTTATGTGATATGGCTGGGGCAGGGGGAGTTAAATAGTAAGGACAGGAAGAGTTATCTACTTTAAAAAATATCACTCATCTATATTCTACAAATTTAATTTCTCTCCTGTTCCTAACCTGATTTACATCATCCTAATCAGCCTCAGACCAAGGAGAATAGAAGTCAAGAGTCAAAACAGACTCCCACCCTGTCCCATAGCCCTGGCACTCAGACCTCAGAGCTCCTAGTGCACAACCAGAAAGCAGGACTTCCTAGAGAGTTCATCATTTGGAATCAAAATTAGGCCTCTTATCATTTTGACTCACCTGTTCTCCAAAGCTTCTCAGGTCAAAGCCACTCTCTCCCACATGTCACCTCTACATGTGGTCATCTCCGTTTCCTATTTAGTTTTACTCATGATTCTGATCTTACCCCCAATTTCCATCCTATTGCAGAATTTGGGGACCTTCCCAAAATAGAGCTATACTCTAAACTTATGTTACTTGAAATAAAACTGAGGGAAAATACACACATGCAGAGTGAGGTGAGGAGCACCCGTGTCCCAGGCAGCAGTGAAACGAGCCCCAATGAGATAGATGCAAACTCAGGGAGAGGCCGCGTGTCTGTCCTTCAGGGTCTTGAGGGCAAACAGTGGGCACAACCTAAACTCCAGCTGAGCCTCCCTACACCTGTGAGTATTGATTTATGGCCCTTAATTGGGGCAGATCGTGCACATTTAACCTACACATAACCTGTGTGTGTGTGTGTTTTTTTAATTAAATATTGTTCAGATTATTACATTTGTTCCTCTTTTTTCCCCCCATAACTCCCCTCCATCCAGTTCCCACCCCACCCTCCACCCTATAACCTGTTCTTCTCCAGCCTCTGCCACAGTGGTCAGGGGCCCTTGGCACTCCAATGCCAATAGAACCACTCACCCATTAGGAGAGACAGATAGCTGGCCCCACCTCAAACTCTGATTCATTCAGTCTGGAGTGGTTTGTGTAGACATCTTTATTTTCTACTAGGGGCCTGGTACATGGATTCATGCACATTGAAAGGAAATTAATTAGAAGAAATACTTTGATATCGTTATTTGCCCTTTCTCTATAATAGAAGTGTCAACCAAATTCATGATTGACAATGACAGATGGAAACACATGCATGCAGTTGGTGCCAGTGAGAGCTTTATATGTATCACGCATGCGCGAGTCAGCTTAGCCTTTTGTAGATATAGAATAAACTTGCTTAATTAGACCTGCTTTCTGATGTAGCTAAACTTTCTCCAGCCCAGTGAAGCACCCCAACTTCTCTTTTAGGTAATTGTCAGCAGCACAGCAGTAAATATCAACACGAAGCAGATTATTATTGTAGATCATGGAGGGAGAACAAAGGGTGAAATATTTAACTGCAGCAGTGTTTGACTATATTCTGTGCAGTGAGAAAACCTGAAGTCATTTTCAAGGTCCACCATTTCTAACTTCTTTTTAGTCAGATCAAGTTCCTAAGCTTTCTAAATCTCCGTTTTACTGCTAATGAAAAGAAAATAGGATTTCACTGAGTCTACTATCTACCTATTCCAGGACTTCTGTGAGGATCAAATGAGATGAGGCATGGGAAAACGCTTCACAGACATTTACTTAAATTGTAAAATGTTTGCACCTGGCTATAGAGCAAGTCATGTTCCTGGGCTGAAGAAACTGCAAGGAGGCTAGTTGCTAGGGAGAGGAAGCTGGGTGTTGCTACATGATGTCATTACCCAGATGGTTGGACACTTAGCATATTAGCCTTTTATATAGATAGATAAGCTCTCCAGGTGACCCTAATGTAGGTGTTTTCTGAATAACACTCTGAGAAATATTTTCCAAGGAGGGAGCAACACTACTTTAAGAATGAATGAATATACTCGTTTCACCTGGTCCTATAATTCCTTTATGATAATTTTAATCTGTATTAGATCTTGTATAGAAGATTTTGGAATAAGCTTATTGCCAGTGAAACTAGGTCAGCTGCTCTAGCTGGTTTGGCTCAGTGGATAGAGCGTTGGCCTGCGGACTGAAGGGTCCCAGGTTCAATTCTGGTCAAGGGCACATGCCTGAGTTGGACGCTCGATCCCCAGTAGGGGGCGTGCAGGAGGCAGCTGATCAATGATTCTCTCTCATCACTTATGTTTCTATCTCTCTCTCCCTCTCCTTTCCTCTCTGAAATCAATAAAAACATATTTAAAAAAAAAAAAAACTAGGTCAGCTAACCCTGGTGTTGGGGCTGGGTGGGGAGGATGACAGAGTGAGGAAGCTACTAGTAAAGGTGCAGGCTCAACAGCTTGGGTTCAAATTCCTGTTCTACTACTGACCAGCTATATAAACTTGGGCTAGATTCAACATCTCTAAGCCTCCATTTCTTCATCTTAGCTGGTAATAGTAATAGAATCTATTTCATTGGCTTGTGTGAGCATTAAATAGAATTACCTATGTAACAAATTTAGACCAAATGTTGAGCAGAAAGTATATATTCTCTCAAATGTGTCATCATTTATCAATATCATCAGGCAACAGCACAGCCCCCACCACTGGATCCAGTGCTACCACCAGTGGCAACAGCACAGCCCCCACCACTGGACCCAGTGCTACCAACAGTGGCAACAGCACAGCCCCCACCACTGGACCCAGTGCTACCAACAGTGGCAACAGCACAGCCCCCCCCACTGGATCCAGTGTTACCTCCAGTGGAAACAGCACAGCCCCCACCACTGGATCCAGTGCTACCACCAGTGGCAACAGCACAGCCCCCACCACTGGATCCAGTGCTACCAACAGTGGCAACAGCACAGCCCCCACCACTGGATCCAGTGCTACCAACAGTGGCAACAGCACAGCCCCCACCACTGGATCCAGTATTACCTCCAGTGGCAACAGCACAGCCCCCACCACTGGATCCAGTGCTACCACCAGTGGCAACAGCACAGCCCCCACCACTGGACCCAGTGCTACCAATAGTGGCAACAGCACAGCCCCCACCACTGGATCCAGTGCTACCAACAGTGGCAACAGCACAGCCCCCACCACTGGATCCAGTGCTACCACCAGTGGCAACAGCACAGCCCCCACCACTGGATCCAGTGCTACCACCAGTGGCAACAGCACAGCCCCCACCACTGGATCCAGTGCTACCAACAGTGGCAACAGCAGAGCCCCTTTACCTTCTCCACCTGGGATGCAGACAACTTCCGATGTGCTTAGCATAAGTGCTGCCACCTCAACGAGCAGCATGAGGCCCGAAGGGTCCCTGAAGCCATGGGAAATCTTCCTCATCACGCTGGGCTCGGCTGCAGTGGCTGTGGGGCTCTTCGCTGGGCTCTTCCTCTGTGTGGTGAGTGCCTAATGAGCAGGGAAGTGCCTGGGGAGGAGCAGCAGGAACGAGGAAGTGGTCTCAGGAGCAGGGGAGCCGGGCCGGGGCTGAGCAGGGAGGAAGACAGAAGAAGCCACCGTGGAAGAGGGAACTATTGACTGGAGAGAAAGGACTGGAAGAAGGAGAGGGCTGGAGGGCCCGAGGTTTGAAGGGGAGGAGACTCTGGAAGGCGTCCGTAGTGAAGACCTGTGAGAGGGGTACAGTGTTGAAACTATTCTCCCTTCTTGTTCTAGAGAAACTCCCTGTGCCTGAGAGATGCCTTTGACGCAGCTGTCTACCATCCCCACGACCTCCACGTGGGCCCGGGCCCCGGAGGGAGGGAGGGCTCCCACTGCAGGCCGAGGTGGAGGAGACAGGGGTCCTCCGCAGTCCTGGAGATGAGAGGGCTGCACCCAGGGCCCTGAGCAGCTGGCCAGGGCCACACCTTCCTGGAGGAAGCCGGCCTGGGGGGCGGGAGACCCGAGTGTCTTGTTCATCCCCAGGAGTCCCCTCACAGCGCTGTTGGGATCTGCGACAGCTTCGGGGAAGACACTCGCTCTCGGCTGCTTGTACCAGACATTGGAGAGAGGAGCCACTCTTCCTTGGTCATTTAGCTAAGAAATAAACACACCGGAAGGAGCTCAGAGCCTGTGAGTGAGGGAGTGAGTGGGTGAGAAACTGTTGGGAGCACTAACTCCTGAATCCTGCTCCTGCGCCAGCTGTGGGAACAGGTCCTTCTCTGCCAGGGGCTGTGTCCCGTGGACACCGGGCGTTAGACAGAGACATGAGGAGTCGCTGTGAGGCTATAAGAGAGTCTTTATCGCAGAGCAGTAGCCACTGCTAACAAGGGGCCATCAGACAAAACAGTTCTTCAAAGGTGCCCCACAAGGTAGCCACAACACGGGAGCCCAGTCACACAGCAGCCCCTGCTAATACAGTACACACACAGGAGCCCCGTACACAGCAGCCCCTGCTAATACAGTACACACACAGGAGCCCCGTACACAGCAGCCCCTGCTAATACAGTACACACAGAGGAGCCCTGTACACAGCAGCCCCTGCTAATACAGTACACACACAGGAGCCCTATACACAGCAGCCCCTGCTAATACAGTACACACAGAGGAGCCCTGTACACAGCAGCCCCTGCTAATACAGTACACACACAGGAGTCCTGTACACAGCAGCCCCTGCTAATACAGTACACACCCAGGAGCCCTATACACAGCAGCCCCTGCTAATACAGTACACACACCGGAGCCCTGTACACAGCAGCCCCTGCTAATACAGTACACACCCAGGAGCCCTGTACACAGCAGCCCCTGCTAATACAGTACACACACAGGAGCCCTGTACACAGCAGCCCCTGCTAATACAGTACACACGCAGGAGCCCTCTACACAGCAGCCCCTGCTAATACAGTACACACACCGGAGCCCTGTACACAGCATCCCCTGCTAATACAGTACACACACCGGAGCCCTGTACACAGCAGCCCCTGCTAATACAGTACACACGCAGGAGCCCAGTATACACAGCAGCCCCTGCTAATACAGTACACACCCAGGAGCCCTGTACACAGCAGCCCCTGCTAATACAGTACACACACAGGAGCCCCGTACACAGCAGCCCCTGCTAATACAATACACACACAGCAGCCCTGTACATAGCAGCCCCTGCTAATACAGTACACACACAGGAGCCCAGTCAAGCAGCCGCCCACGGGCTGGTCAACAACACATCTTCATACCAACTGAGGCAAAAGAGGCTTCTTGCCAAACAGTGAGATTAGTATTGGGGTTGTAGAAAGGTGCACCTGCACTTGCCTGCAGTACAATCACAGTGTCCTTGTTTTTGCACCTGCATATGGCAAATTGCCCTTGAACATCCGGTGGGCTCTAGACAGAGCCCCCACTCAAATTGCCATGAACAGCTGGCGTACTCTGATTAGGGTCCCACACTCCACCCCTTATGCCAGATAGTCTTCTAAGGGGTACCCTGGCCTAGTTGCCAGCTCCTTGAATACAGAGCCTACAACAATACCAACTGTAGCATGTTAGGAGCAGTATTCCTGCCCTATAGTAAAACTCACGAATGCCTAATGCCATGTCCCTGACAGTCCACCCCACCAATCTTGGAGGGGTCATGCGGGAGGGCCTGTATGGCCTGTACTTCATTCTCTCTTTCAGGGCACTGCTTACATTCCCAGGGCTGGACCCAGGGGCGTGACTGTCACTTACAGTCGTACCCGCTTCCCCAGGGGGATAGGAGGGCCCTTCCCTAGTAACAGACCATGGCCAGGTCCACACTCCCTGCCCCCCTCTGCCAAGGGGGAGGCCTTGGGTTGCAGCAGCTCGTCTGTTGCTTTTACCTGCACTGCAGTGTCTGAGGAAGCCTCGTACAGACCCTTCCAGCTGAGTCTTTCCGGCTACGCGGGTCCCCACAGGGGGCGGGGCCTACTAGTCACTGCTGTTGTGCCATCGTGGCAACTACAAGGACAGCCCAGCTGTGCGTTCCAATGGCCAAAGTATCCAAACGGACAGTCACAGCCGTCCATGTGGCTGGGCTCTTCCCCACCTGCCCGGGCCGTGTACCACCTGGTCTCCGGGAGGGGCGGACCCTCTCCGAACGGACTAGGGAGCACCTCCTTCACAGGAGTGTCATCCCTGCACAGGTCTCAGATGTCACAGGGCTTGCAATCCCTGGGACAGGCTGGTCCTCACCGCGGCGCTCTGTTCCAGAGAGGCCCCCACTTTGCTAAAGGTGGGGTTTGTGCCGCTCCCAACATGGGCTGGTCACACAGGCCTGTAAAGCAGCACTCATGGCTGCCCACTGTCTCCCAACAAGAGAGCATCAGCTCCCAGTTGCCATCATCACTGGGACCAAAACCTGATGGGTACCCGTCTCCGCCCACTTGGGCGACTGCCCTCTTGGCTGCTAAGCATCCTCTAGTTCTGGGGTTCAACCCCACGTCGCCCCCTTCCATGACAACTGACAATGGCGTAACAACGGCGCCAAGTGGGGACTGAACACTCGCCAAAACCCTAAAAGGCCAACATAGGTCTGTAACAACTCCTGGCAGCTGCGTTCACGTTCTGCAAGAGAATCAGAGCTAACACAACATCGTTACCACATGGAACATTGGCCCCGGGGGAGGCTTGCCCAGGCCACTGCACAGTGGTGCCGCCCTCCTGCCGGAGTTGGGTGGTCCAGGAGATCTGCTATGGCCTGCACACCGGAGGGTGACGGGGGAGGCACTTCATTCCGTTCTCTGCAATCCTCGGTCAGTCGGGGCAGTAGCTGTCAGGCACCGGAGGCTGCAGGACTGCCTGCGGCGGACGATCCTCACCTTCTCCAGTGGCAACGCCGCCTGTCCAATCTCCCCAAGATGCACGCCTGCACGGGAGAGAGCTCCTTGGGGCACACAGACAGCTCTGCCTCCGCACCCGGCTGCATGGGCAACGGGGCCGGATGAAGACGATATGAGAAGTCGTAGGTGTGTACGAGAGTCTTTATTGCAGGCCAAGAAGCCATTGCTAACAAGGAGCCATCAGACAAAGAGTTCTTCAAAGGAGCCCCACGAAACAGCCGAGCAAACAAAGTAGCCCCTGCTAATACAGTTCACACACAGGAGCCCTGTACACAGCAGCCCCTGCTAATACAGTACATGCACGGGAGCCCTGTACACAGCAGCCCCTGCTAATACAGTACATGCACGGGAGCCCTGTACACAGCAGCCCCTGCTAATACAGTACATGCACGGGAGCCCTGTACACAGCAGCCCCTGCTAATACAGTACATGCACGGGAGCCCTGTACACAGCAGCCCCTGCTAATACAGTACATGCACGGGAGCCCTGTACACAGCAGCCCCTGCTAATACAGTACATGCACGGGAGCCCTGTACACAGCAGCCCCTGCTAATACAGTACATGCACGGGAGCCCTGTACACAGCAGCCCCTGCTAATACAGTACATGCACGGGAGCCCTGTACACAGCAGCCCCTGCTAATACAGTACATGCACGGGAGCCCTGTACACAGCAGCCCCTGCTAATACAGTACATGCACGGGAGCCCTGTACACAGCAGCCCCTGCTAATACAGTACATGCACGGGAGCCCTGTACACAGCAGCCCTTGCTAATACAGTACATGCACGGGAGCCCTGTACACAGCAGCCCCTGCTAATACAGTACACACACAGGAGTCCCGTACACAGCAGCCCCTGCTAATACAGTACACGCACAGGAGCTCTGTACTCAGCAGCCCCTGCTAATACAGTACACACACAGGAGCCCCGTGCTCAGCAGCCCCTGCTAATACAGTACACACACGAGCCCAGTACACACAGCAGCCCCTGCTATTACACTACACACACAGGAGCCCAGTACACACATTAGCCCCTGCTAATACAGTACACACACAGGAGCCCTGTACACAGCAGCCCCTGCTAATACAGCACACACACAGGAGCCCAGTACACACAGCAGCCCCTGCTATTACAGTACACACACAGGAGCCCTGTACGCACAGCAGCCCCTGCTAATACAGTACACACACAGGAGCCCAGTACACACAGCAGCCCCTGCTAATACAGTACACACACAGCAGCCCCGTACACAGCAGCCCCTGCTAATACAGTACCCACACAGGAGCCCTGTACACAGCAGCCCCTGCTCCTACAGTACACACAGAGGAGCCCAGTACACACAGCAGCCCCTGCTAATACAGTACACACACAGGAGCCCAGCACACACAGCAGCCCCTGCTAATACAGTACACACACAGGAGCCCAGTACACACAGCAGCCCCTGCTATTACAGTACACACCCAGGATCCCTGTACACAGCAGCCCCTGCTAATACAGTACACACACAGGAGCCCTGTACACAGCAGCCCCTGCTAATACAGTACACACACAGGAGCCCTGTACACAGCAGCCCCTGCTAATACAGTACACACACAGGAGCCCAGTACACACAGCAGCCCCTGCTATTACAGTACACACCCAGGATCCCTGTACACAGCAGCCCCTGCTAATACAGTACACACACAGGAGCCCTGTACACAGCAGCCCCTGCTAATACAGTACACACACAGGAGCCCTGTACACAGCAGCCCCTGCTACTACAGTACACACCCAGGAGCCCTGTACACAGCAGCACCTGCTAATACAGTACACACACGAGCCCAGTACACACAGCAGCCCCTGCTAATACAGTACACACACAGGAGCCCTGTACACACATTAGCCCCTGCTAATACAGTACACACACAGGAGCCCTGTACACAGCAGCCCCTGCTAATACAGCACACACACAGGAGCCCAGTACACACAGCAGCCCCTGCTAATACAGTACACACA